TAGAGTAACCCTAGCTTTGCCAGAGCACAGGCCTGCTAGAGGGAGAGATGGGAAGGCTCTGTGCGCTGCGGGATTCCAAGCACCCACCTTCTTCTAGGGCATTTTTTTCTGGGGGGGAGTGACAGTTTTGTAGAAGTTTTTTAAATCCCCAAATTAAATAACCTACCCAGATCTGCTTAGTTTTTTGAGAAGCCATAGCCTAAATACCCTTCTCGTGCTTGAGGCCAGACCACCGTGCGTCCTGCCACTTAGTCAACGGTTTCGGGAACCCAAGCTCTTGGAAGGACCTGGATTGAACCTCCTATCTTATGAGCATGAGGTATCGCATCCCGAGTCTCATCGCCCAGGCCAAACTACAGGGTGTCTCCTTTCATCCGGTGCTCTTTCTTCGAGTTGGTATCTCCACAGGTCTGAGATACCAAGCTCTCTTTTCACAAGTCGGGGTTGGTGGTAGCCATGTAAAGAATGTTACAGAGGGAAGCAGAAAAAAACAAAAACAAAAACGATTGTGGGCTGAAATAATCGTGCCCACACCGGTAGGATGCCTCTGCCCAGTTTCCCAGGCTGTTAGCTTCTGCTGAATGAGCAGCTGCCTAGAAGGGAGAGAAGTGGAAGTGATGACCCAGCTGAGCCGCTAGCCTCAGAGAGAGAGAGAGAGTATGCCCAGGTTGAGGCAACAGGACACCCTCTTCTCTCTCTCTCTCTCTCTCTCTCTCTCTCTCTCTCTCTGACTCTGTCTCTCTCACACACACACACATACACAGACACACACACACACACACACACAGACACACACACAGACACACACAATTCCACCCTTGCGGAGTCACTGCAGGTTTGGACACACTTTCATTGTACGCATGAAGTGGACGCCCACGAGGGGCGCGCTCACCTCTGACGTTGCCCTCGCACCCAAGGGACCCTTTCAAAAAGTTTGGCCTCACAGTATGCTCTCATAAACATGATAGCCTGCAGGTACAACCACTTGGTGAGTGACCTCAAACCCAGACGCCTGCAGAGTCCCGCGTGTGTCTGCACCCTCAACACTGAGCATATCCTCAGGCACAGAACCATAGCCCTTCTCCGTGACTGTGGCAGAGGAAACCCAAGATCTCGGCTCCAAATGAAGTGGTTGACAGCAAGGGCCCAACTCAGATTGAGCGGTGGTGTGTGTGTGTGTGTGTGTGTGTGTGTGTGTGTGTGTGTGTGTGTGTGTGTGTTTGTGCACTCAGCCAAGAAATCCTCCACATCCTCATTCCAACCTCATCCATCACTTAGAGCCACTCTACAGTAGAGGCCCAGAGGAAAGGCCCAGAGGGAAGGCCCAGGTGGGGAACCTGGGGTTGGGGGCCGAGAATGAGAATTCTGTACCACTGACTAGGAGAAGGGCTGAGGGCATCAATGGGGGACCTGGGAAGCGTTGACTTTTGCGCTGTTTGCCCGCGGCCTCGGAGCAAGCAGACGCCATCTGTTTGCCGGCTGCGACGCGTCTCGTTTAATTACCCTCCCGGCAGCCTAATAGAGATGATATTAAACTAAATCTTTTTGACATTAAAAGTAATTATCCCCAAACCGGTGGCTCTGGGACGGATTCGCCCCTCCCGCACAGACCCCTTTCCCACCGCTCTGGATTCCGTTAGTTTGGCTGAAACTCTTCACCTGGGAAGCGGCTGGAGGAAGAAGGCGCCTTGGGAGACAGGCACTCTGAAGGCACGCATGCCTGACATGCGTTTTGCGCACCATTGTGGTTCCTGTTCTTGCGTGGACACCAGCACATGAGACATTTTCCTCCGGTCTTATTGATTAAGACCCTCAGACGTGCATATCCAGTGTAAATGGGGAGGAAGGCTGCCTGGTTTGCTGTCTCTGTCTCCATTGAAACGGGCCCTTGATCTGGCCTAGGCTAGGGCCAAGGAAAACACACAACTTTGGAGTTAGGAAACAGAGCAGACAACAAACCACACTGCCCAATGTGGCTCTAGGCTTTTGCGTGTTCTTCCTGTGAGTGCCTTGTGCGTCCCCTGCAGTGACTTCCTATATTGGGTCCTATTATCTCACCTCGCAGGTGAGAAACCGATTCCAAGCTGGAAGGTGACACAGAGGAATGCTAATTTCAAGTCTGGAGTTCCCATCCCTAGCCAGTGGTCTGCAAAGTTCTGGGTCCCAGCTGAGGCTTCCTCTGCACCTGGAGGGCCAATCGCTGGTGCTTAGTTTCTTTGGGAAAAGAGCACTGGGTGCCTTACTTAAGGAGCAGGTGAAGGGCCAGGGAGGAGGGACCACACTGGTGCAGGAGATGCCAACACCAAGCTCCTGCCATAGCCACAGCCACGGCCCTCATTGGACAAGTCCTGCAAGGGAGTAGGGGTTGTGTATAGTTTCACCGCTTTCTGTTTCGAAATGTCTCTAGTGTTTGCCACTCAGCTAAATTGTAGGTGTGGCCTGCTTGCTTAGCACAGAGTGCTAATGGAAGTGCAACAGCCTTCTTCAGACCTGAGTGGCTCACGATATTTAGAATGGGGTGCCACCTGAGTGGCTCACGATATTTAGAACAGGGTACCACCATGCAGTTCTACCCTAAAAAAAGAAAAAATCCAGATCCAGTGTTCAGTCTTAGGCCTTTGTCTCCTCACTTCAATTCTGAGCATAATGTGGGACTTAGGGGGTTCTTTTAGGTTTGATTTCATTAAATTCACCAGTTACTCAAGGAAAACCGAGAATCTGGCTACTCGTGTTGAGTTCCCAGTATGTGCCAGGCTCTGAGGATCAGAGAGTAATTACTTGTAATGTATTCTTACAGAGATCACTGGGCAACTAGGCACAGGGTCACCCACTGTTGACCTCGCAGTGAGAACAGTGGGTACGGAAGGGGCTTTCTGAAGGGACCCTTAATGTGAGCTTCAGGTTTCCAAATGGAAGTTGTCAGTGCTTGTTTTCATAAAGTAAACATCTTATAAACATTTTAGAAAATTCAGCAGTATACATTTGATACATATTTTTGGAAACTTTCTGTGTGTTCATTTACAAAATATGCATTTTGTTTATAAGTATAAGCATTTTTCATATTAATCATCACATATAAGCTTTAAAATGGTTTTAAAATATTCAGTTATATGGATGTATCTTATTTAGGCAATTCTTTTTTATAGTTAGTCTCCGATTTTTGTTCTGATAACTGTGCTACCACGAGCATCCTTTGTGGATCTGACCAATTATTTCCCTAGGATAAATTACTAGAAAAGTGATCGAGTCATCATAGGTCTTTTAAAAAGGCATTTGATATCTACCTGTCAAACAGCTTTTAGAAATGCTGTGACAGGCAAGGTGCTCAACGATGCATCTTGGGATCTTTTTAATCTTTGCTAATTTAAGCAAGAAAAGCAGTCTCTCGAAGGCACTGCAATTTACATTTCCTTAGTATTTTTTCTTTATCTCACTGCTATTTGTTTTTAAATAATCTGCATATATCTTTTAAAAAATTACAACTTCTCCATCCTCACCTAGTGCACTGAGTACACACCCTCAAGGCAGCAGCACCCTCCTTTCTGCCAAATGGCCACATTTCTCCATTCTTTGGGTTACTGGTTTTGCTATTACTATCCTGGGGTTTTAAACTCTTTTTAAAAAGGTAGTAATACTTATTAACTTTCTCTATAGTGTATATTTACAGTATTTTACCTAAAGATTTTCCAGTTTTATACTTCTAAAATCATTCACCTATATTTTCACATTTATTTAGCTAATAAATAACATTTATTAGCTCTTTTCATTTTTCTACCTTTATATAGTTAGTTCAGTGGAAATTAACTTCAGATGCAAAGTTACTCACCAAATAATTAGCTGGTTATCACAGGACTATAGTATGACCTGCCCATTCCTCCACTGAGCACATACTAAAATCTCAGATGACCTTTTTTTTTTTTTTTTTTTTGACTTCAGCATGTGTTTTCCCCAGCCTGTGATCTAATTGTTGTACTTATACAATATTCTACTGATTCCTGATTCTTCTTTTTCAAGCGTTTCATGTTTTTTTTCAAAATACAGTAATCTGAATCAACATTTTATGAATTTCAAGTCTTGTTAAAAATAAAATAGTAATTGGATCTCCCCCTTTTCCTCCAAGACTGGGTTTTCTGTGTAGCCCCCGCTCTCCTGGAACTCACTCTATTGACTCAGAGATCTGTTTGCCTCTGCCTCCCAAATGCTGGAATTAAAGGCGTGCACTTGCGGGCACCACCACAGCCAGACAAAGCCTGTCTTTATAAATTACTTTGAGAGAGACTGTGCATCTTTACAACACTGGATGTTTTCACCCAGAACACAGTGTGATACCATTCCTAGGGTGGGGAAGGGGGTGGGGGTGGGGGGGTGGTATTTTTTGGTAAGCGTCATCCTTTCCCTCCATGCTGTTTCCTAAACACATATCCTTGGTATAGTGTATAGCTAGTTTGAACAGAATCTTTTCGCCCATTGTATCTAACTGCTAATGTCATGAGTTTAAGAAAGTTACTTATTAGACTATCTTCATCTTGGGCCCAGCCTCACTCCTGAACTCTCTTCCACACAAAGTTTTCAAATTATGCTCAAAGTTTTTTGAGGCCCTGAACTAACCAGGCAGAAGGGAAGAGATCAGACATAGAAAGGTCCAGGTGATTTTCAGGTCCTCCTGGACTTTGGAGACCGATCCTCAGATTGGTGAGTTCAGGAATTAGCTCCCAGGGTGATGCTGGAAGTCCCCAATTTAGAGTCTTTGGCTGTGATATTGAGGCAGGATAGGAAGGGGAATTTACGGGGGCATAAGCAAGAAGAGGAGCTTCTGGGCCTAGAGTCCAGCCCAAGTCCTTCTGGTTGCAGTCTTTTACCAGCTGAGTC